CCTAGTCTACTGCTCAACGATATAAACGATAGTTTTCTGCTGTATTGTACCAGTTGAGATGCAGCGAAATCTACCTTGGCATAAATTGTGCAACCTAGCTTTATTGTGCCCTCTTCAAATATATATATATATATATATGTTGAATCACGTGACTTATAATTGGCTAATAGTTTTCATTGTGCAAACAGTTTATTGTAAACAAATTTAATCGGGTTTCTTACTCCACTACTCGCGATGTTTGTTTAAAAAGTAGCTTATAAATACCTACCCTTTAGTTTCGGCGCTCAAAACATTCCTACTAACTTCATACTAACCAACTGTTGACACCTACTGGTCCTCATTTAGTTTCACCCGAAAAATGATAAACATTTCAAATTGAGAGCAAACAATATCAAAAGATGCCCCTCTTGCATCGGAACTGCAAATTTGGCCACCCCATTCACATACCTGTCCCATTTTCCTGTTCTCCGGTGACTGCCTTCTCCTGTGTTTGGCATGCAACAAACAGATCAGAAAATTCAAGCTGGATTGTGCTCGGGAACACGAATAGGATATAACCTCAATCCTGATCACACTGTCCCGGATCTATGTGACACAAAGTGTTTACCCATTTATTGTCCAACCCAATGAAGCAGTTTAAACTGTTTTGGTCTCCTCAGAAGGGAATAACTAAGACCTGAGTCATGCGGTCCCGTATCGTATCGTATCGTACCAAAGCACATACGATACACGCTCGCCTTGGACGGAAGTCAGACGCGTTCACGGTCACAAGCAAGCAAGATTCAGTAACAGCTGACCTCAATAGCAGTAGAGCTATGGTTATGCCCAGGGAATTGTGTGTGTGTGTGTGTGTGTGTGTATTTAATGACTGAATGAGGTCAATTTCGCGAATGAGTGAGAACATATTTTGAAATCGGGTGACCTGATGCACATTTCGTATCGCCCATTATTAGCAAGTAAACATAAAATGTAACCGGCTCAAATCCGTTGAGTGTATGAAAACAACGGTTTTCACAGTTTTAGAAGTCCCCAATAGAGATGCTTCTTTTTGAGTGACTTAGTTGAGACAGACATGGTCTCCCTATTATTGTGCTAATTCTCAAGCTGTTGGGTAAGTTCTCAATTCCGTATAGTATTTTCTCAGTACACTAGTTATAGTATCTCTTTGTTAAGACTCAAGCATCGCAGTTGCACTAAATTTTGTATTTCATGGGTAAAAGTTTCCTCACGTCCGGCGTACCGAATGGCTGTCCGGCTGGCTGTGAAAAACTCAACTGGACCGGGCCTGTTTGTGAGTGCCCGAGGCTACCGGAACCATGACGCTAGTTTGGTTGTCATGGTGACTAATACCTGAGTCATTAATGCTCACAGCTTCCTGACCAAGCTTTTAGCCTCACTTTAAGTAGGCGTCTATGAACTATAATTTCTTTTTACGTTCTCTTCAGTGAACAGTAGTCTCGTTTTTAAAGCGCTAAGGCTAGCGGAAATGAAAGTCTCGTGTGTTTATGTGAGTGGCACGCAAGATGAACGAAATAGATAAGGTCTACAAAGTCGTTACTTTGCATTTGCGCACAGTGCAACGCAGTTATTACGCGACTTACTCGGACAGGATGTATTTCCAGAACCATTTTTGTCGCTCAAAAGTACTCTTCTCTTGTTTAGAGACAAAGACCTTTTAAATAAAGTAAAGTTTTAGAAACAGCAACAAGAGGTTTCACGTCTTTTGCTCGGCGCTATTCCGGATATGACTGAATCAATTAAAACGAGAGGGATTCGATTTATCTCGGATCGTGTGAAATAGAGTCCGTCTGCCGCTGCGCGTAATGGCGCCAGTGACTGTTATGAAGACGCAATACAAAATAACGGCGCTCATATTTCACCTCCATTGGTATTTTCAATGGAGCATTTAGAATGAACGAGAAATTTTGCTGATAAACCAAGCATGTTATTTTGGAAACTGAGGAAACGTGTGTTCAAAACACTGGAACGTACGTGAGCAGCCCGACGATTCAGAGCTGTCTGCACAGCGGACACGGTGGACTCAGCCAAATGCAAACTCGAACCGGCCCGATATTTCGAATGAGCCAATTTGCGCAACGTATTGATATCTCCTTTGGATAGACCATAGGGGCGCATAGCCATCTGATCGGATTCCACACCCTCACGATAGTCCATCGGATGCCCGGTTTGACTGGGCGATAAGGCACGACCCGGTGCTTGGGAAGCATCCTCCGAGCGGGGAGTTTTCGCCTCGGTCATTCGCGGTGGAAGTGGTGGCGCAAAACCTTCGGCAGACTCGGGCAAACCGGATGACCATTCGGCTTGCTGCATACTGAGCAACGGCTCTTCGGCCTCGTCCGAATCAGCAATCATGGAGTCGGAAATGACTAGCTGTCGTCCAGAAGAAGAGAAAAATGAGATAGAATATGGCCAAATTTGGAACAAACTTCAACCACATAAAAGCAAGAGTACTTAATAAGGCTGCGGTATGAACACAAAAAAATTTAAAAAAAACAAAACGGAAACATTGGTGAATTTTAAATGGAGGGTAAACGATCTTTTTCATGTGTTTCGCATTTTCCACTAACGGTACAGAAATTTTGATATTTATTAGTTTACAATATCGCCTTTTAATCACATGAATTTCTTAAAATATCACGTCCTTCTGTTAACCGAATAATATTAAACCATTGTTCAAGAATTTGTTAAATTCAACAATTTAAAACTTTTGTATACCAAGGTTGTGAAACGTTCAGTAGCCTCGGTGGGATTCGAACCCTCGCGCATGGACGCCGCCTACGCTTTTGTACAGCGCATGTTCTACCAAATGAACTTTTCATAATTTCGACATAAAACTTTAAATCTGCCAAAACACAGTCGAAAACATTTTATAAATTAAAATAATCTAATAATAATCTAATTCGTGACCTTCCCACTAACCCAGATGATCTTCTCATTAAGTATGCTGATGATGTCACAATAGGTTCCAAGTTCCAAGGTGATTTCCGCTTTTCACATCTTCAAACCAGTTTATCGGCCTTAAAATTATGGTCTTCGTCTTCCAAGTTATCTCTCAATGCATCTAAATGTAGGGATGTCACCTTCTCGCTCGCCAAAGAAGAACGACTAAATTATTTTGAAAGAAATTTTTCTGTACTGTATGTTGAAAATTAGTCTGTTCCCCCCAGTAAATTCTCTACAATACCTCGGTGTAACTATCTGCCAAGATTTCACCTGGACCTCACATTTAAATTCTACTTTTGTAAAGATTCGAAGATTGTGTTTCTTTATTTCCCGCTTGCGTTCTTTGAAAATTCTACTGGATTTATTCACTCGATTTGTATAGCTTTATGTTGTTATTCATTTTCTCTACTACTCCCCAGTTTTATTTGCCGCTCTTAGAGCTAAAGATTACATAATTCTACGCCGGTCTATTAAAATTATTTCTCGCACAAGCGGTATTCCTTATTTGCACTTGTGTAACTTTATCGCCAATAAACATTTTACCTCTTGCGATAACTTCTGCAACAATATTCTATCAGACACCATTCACCCATTACACACAGAACTTGTACAACGTATATTCGCTTTTGTAACTAGATGTCGTTATAAACTAATGTATGCTCGTACCATTTCATATCGCTTGTTCATAATCTCCTATCTTTCGGGATTTTTGGCTCGAAAGGTATCCACTTGACAATCATAAATTCAAATGACCCACGAACAGCTTTTTTATTTGATGCTACCTCACACTGCCGGTACAGAAGGATGCGCTACCATTACCTGTGCAATCTGACTCAAGGTCTGATGCATGACATGTGTGTGTTCAATCAGGAGTTTGGTTGCCTTCAAGTGATCATCAGGATCTTCCAACAAGTTGCCCGGCTGCGTGACGTCTTCCTCCTCCTCATCGTCATCCTCCACCTCCTCATCCGAGCTGCCCATACCATCGCGACCACCGCGTTTGGACCGTTTGGACTTTTTGCTGTGTCTCGCAAACTCTGTGTCCTCCACAACTGAATAGATACCGGAACGGAGTTGACTCATGGTGGTCAGAATACGATCTCTGTCGGCCAACTGTGAAAGCATTTGTACAGCGTGAGGGAAGTTTTAGATACATGTATATCTTTCAAGCGATATATCACAATACAACTTTGCAGCTTTCATTTTTAGTTAGTCAGTGGACTGACAGTCCGTTAAGTGTAACTGATTCTTATATGTTGACAAACAGTAGATTGAAGATTGAAAAGCCCGTTATTGCGTCAGCGTTCAGATTGAAGATCACGCCGACTGCAAACTGAAACGTAATCTATCAATTCCAATGTGGGTGCAGAGACACTTACATAGACAGAACAAAAGGCAATTAGGTAACCGGGTTTCAGAACTGGGTTCAAAGTAAGGTTTCCACTGTAAAGTTCACGCAACCAGGTAACTGCTACGGTCTGTGCTTACAAACCACCCAGGTCATCGATTGTCAAGGCCTTGTTGATTACGCAACACTTCATGGATCGCGAGAAAACATTTCGAGTGATTTTTACTGATGATAACACCAGTTTGCTAAAGATCGCCCAGGCGATTGCAATCAAGCGATAGAAACCAATTCTCTGTCAACATACGACTTGTTCATCACCTTGGCTTTGCCTTGGTGACCTTTTCCCCAGTCAAATTTGTTTATTTTGTAATCCATTCCCAAACCCTATATAAACATTCTATTTGTCTGCAACAGGCATCAGTTGAGATGCAGCGAAATTGTCCAGGACATAAATCGTGCAATGTGGCCGTACCGGCTTCTCTTTTCAAATTTATCATGAGAAAAGCATATTTCGGTAACTCTTATATTCTAAAAGATACAATGGTCTTTTGTAGTTTGGTTTTCATCTACTTTGCCTTTTTTATCAACCCGTTTCGAAAAAAAACTTCAACTTGTTCTCACATGTTGTCCGCGTAATCTTAATTGCGTTGCACTACTGAAGTTCACGAGATTGTTCATTAGAAAAGCATGTGAAAAAAATTGGTATTGAGCTGACCGAAATGAGTGGATAATTACTAAGATTACTGTTATGGTTTATAGTACACAACAAAATTCACCGTGTAAACAATTGAATCAAATCCTCCACTGTTCTTAATCAACAAATAATCGGGTTGCAATGTTTCAACCGACTCCTAATTCTAAAGACTAGTGATTAGATGAGTGAGGTTCTCGTGCAGATCGGTTGTGCTTTGTAGTATAAATGAAAAATCGTCTGGACAGTATGCTTGCGTCCTATCTGTGAGGCCCCTGGTTCGATCCTCGGGTGGACTGATAAACTCTCAAGGCTGATTAGACTCAGTAATGTTGAAACAGACGTCTCGTGCTTTCTCGTCTTTCAATTCACCATATGATTGAATCACATCCTCTACTACTCTCATATTTTCTACGCGCGATCTAAACAAAAATACAATGACTTTTACAACTACCGACGTATTAGTTCACGGATACAGTTAGTGAGCGGTTATCTTGTACCCTGATAAAATATCACTCTGTTTTTTAGTCAAGTTTCACTTCACTGCATTTCCCTTGTTCAGCCAGTTGTAGAATTCACCTGTTGATCTTTATGGTAGCAAGACCTATAGATTCAAATATTACAAAATGAAAGCATAGGGTAAACACGAATTTCCTTGGTCCTCCATTCGACCTGCATTATATTTTTAATTATTTGATTTCCGAATGGCGAGAGCATATGTTTTTACAAACTGCAATTCATCAACAATCAGACGTTTCCGGTTAGAAGCTCACTCAATAAGTATGTGATCTGGACCATGGGAATGAAAGATATAATTTGAGAGTTCATGGTAAACTGAAGAAAAATCGGTTATTGTTAATGATAATAATAATAATACTAATAATAATGATTAAAAGAGCAAATGCAGTGAGCATTTCTCAGTATGATCAGTTTGCAACTAACTTGTGATGCCAGGCGTTCCTTTGCGGCCACGGTCTCGGTCAATTTGGCCTCGGTTTCCGCCAACCGCGCTTGGCTACGGGCCAGAGATTCAGTGAGATTGCGGATCCGGTCGGCCGCTTCGGCCTCGAGCGCACTCGCCTGTTTAGTCTCCCGCTTCAGAGTGGCTTGAGCCTGCGCTTCGGCCGTGCGCATGTTTACCTCCAAGTTACCACACACCGACTGTATATTACGGATGTATCGGGCAAATTCTGTCCGCACCTGTGCAAAGAATTCGAAACGTTTGTATAATTGGTATGAGAAAACCGGTGAAATCAGTAGTTTGGCTTGCCTATGCATGACATCCTTTCACAAGGATTTGGCATCTGTGCGAAATGGTTTTCTTGAACGTAGCACTTTGCTGCATTTGAAATAAACGAATACTTGCATTTCTAACGATTTCGCTTAGGGAAAGCGGATCTGATTGAATGATTTACTTCAATTAGCCTTACGCACGCATTTATCTACCTCTGCCTGATGGTAGATACCATTTTGAGGTGAACTGTGCAATTAAATTTCGTTCTACAAAACAAATCAATTCACAGTTAAAAGAATGTGTAAATACTACCAGTTGACACCATTCATCCATCTGAAATGGAGGTTACCTGGGAAATAAGTTAGCTCAAACGACATAAGCCTTCCCGCCCCGACAGGAGGTCTAGCCTTGGTTTTGAAGTTAACAAAACGCCTGGGTTCAGTGTGGGAAAAGGAACAGGTTCCAACTGAATGGTGTGAATCGGTCATCATACCGAGTTGCAAGAAGGGCTACAGGTCCTTTTGTGAAAACCACAGAGTAATTAGTTTGATAAACATTGCATCTAAACTTCTCGCCGGTATCATACTCCTTCGATTGTCTGCCGCACGTGAACGGCGTACGCGTGAGAACCAGGCTGGTTTCAGACCTGGACGGGGTTGTATCAACCACAGCTTCACTCCGTCAAATTCTAGAGCACAGACACTCCTTTCGTAGACCCACCATGTCTCTCTCGCTCGATCTGAAGGCAGCTTTCGACTCAGTCAACCGCTGTAAACTTTGGCGCTGCCTCGTTCTAAAGGGTGTGTCCGGGAAGTTTATTTCAATATTAAAACCTCTTTATACTAATAGCCGGAGCCGAATCCGAGCTTACGACAGTTTTTCACCCGAGTACACCACGGAACGTGGTGTTCGACAGGGTTATCCTCTTTCTCCGTTTCTATTCAACTTTGTAATAGATTTGATTCTTGAAACAGCCCTGTCCTCGTCCGAGGATAGTGGAAGCCTGTGTGATCTAAATTATGCAAACGACATTGTGCAGCTAAGATCCAGGTAAGTTGCAAGCTTTTCTGAACAGTTTGAGTGCTAGTGTAGCCATGTTCGGGATGAGTTTTGCACCTTCAAAGTGTAAAATGTTGCTCCAAGATTGGCTTGGTCCATCACCCCGTCTCACCCTGATTGGTAAATGGTAGAGAAAGTAGACAAAGTTTGTTATCTGAGCAGCTATATCTCACTTGGCGGACGCATCACGGATGAAGTGTCAGCTCGCATATGGAAGGCTCAGTTGGCATTTGCCAACTTGAGACATTTGTGGCGCCGTCACGACATCCGGCTGTCTGTGAAGAGTCGAGTATATGTTGAGGCAGTTCTACCAGTACTGCTCCATGGTGCAGAAACTTGGCCACTACGGGAACAGGATAAAAATCGATTATCGGCGTTCGAACACCGCTGTATACGTCGTATTTCACGAGTCTGGTGTGGGTAACCGGACGAGCAATGCTGAGGTTAGGCGTAGAGTTTTAGGCAGTCGCGGTCGTCCACTGGTGCAAGTGATTGACCTTTCATAGATTACGCTGATTAGGGCATGTGTTACGCATGTCATCAAATAGTGTGCCACGGCGAGCAATGTTTGCCGAGGCAGAGCGTGGTTGGACAAAGGTCAAGGGTGATCAAACGAAGACCTGGCATGAGGGTATGAAAACCCTAACCAGGATACTAGGTGACATAGGTCCCGTTAGACTCCCTGGCCGGGGACCTCGGGATGGTCGTAACCGATGGATAGATACACTGAGTGACATGGCTGGATGTCGCAAACATTGGCGCTCGTGCATCCATTCATTATTCCCCTAACACCGTTCTACATGCATTCTCCATCTTCCGCTTGAATTTTCTTTCAACAGCCCAAGCTTCATTCTATTGTTTTATCTAAATGGGCAACCAAAAGATAGCAACCAAAACCGGCGCACGAAAGTGTATAGTTAATGGTTGTAAAAACTGAAACTGAAACAGTTGAGAGATTAGAATTTGGTCAATAATGTTTACTGAAACTAAACCACAAGATGAGTAACAAACCTATAAAGTAAACAATTATAACTGTTCCACGCACATCGCGAGGTGAATTACCATGATCTATTGTGGCAGAGAACCGCACGATTGGCAACGGCTTGAATGTTTTCTTAATGTGACAATTTGTAAAAGTATTTAATCTGACTAAATCTATCACAGAACACTCGTTCAATGTGATGATTATCCTTTTTAATTTCGCCTAACTATCATATAATTTGATTATTATATCCTCTTAGTAAATTATTTCAATATATTTTGAAAGGCACAGAACTCAACAATCCATTCACTAAAAAATTTATCAAACTTATGCAATGACAAGCTACTAGAACGACGTGTATCTTCCCCCGACTTATTGTGAATACGGATTGGGTTGAAGAAAACTTGGAAGAAAAGGAATGAAACCATAAAAGATGCAATACATTTAAACATTCTGACACAGTTGACGTTGTTTGACTTACACTCAATGAATTTGTCTCCGTTGTGTTCGAAAACGAAACTTTAGCCCATCTTAAATGCATCTCTCGGGCACGTTAGAACAGACTAATGCACCAGTGACAGTCAGATTACACATACATTTCGCGTGATCATATAGACAAAAGAATGCCTGTCTAACGTATGAATAGTAGTGACATATTGTAAATGAAAGTAATTGTTTCAAAGATTTTGATGTTCTCTATTGACAAGTGAATGAAAAGAATACCGATTATGGCTAAACAAAATTTAGTATCACCCGCGAAAATGACCACGGGTAACCCAGTTGATTGTATGAAAGTATTCAATTGTTACCTTATGTACTGACAGATTGTCTGACTAACTGACTGACTGCCTGAATGACTGCAGTTGACTGACTGACTGACTGACTGACTGACTGACTGACTGACTGACTGACTGACTGACTGAATCTGATTATTCCAATGTTACCTACGTTATCATACCAGTCGTTCACATTGTCCCTTGTACAGTTCAATTTATATTTATTAAATAAATTATCTGGTTGAATATAACGTATATCTAAGTTATTTGTGTTTCGTTCTTTATGAATATTCTTTTCCACAGTTGCAAAAATTACTATTATGACAATAAAATACACCGTTTGACGGAATCCACAACCAAAAAGTTTCATAGTGGTGCATTGAACCATCTCCTTTTATGTGCCGCCTCGTTTCCCCAACAGAATGATGTATGCATCAATTTATTCATTTTTTGTATATACATTTACTCTTCCGTTGTATGCATCCAATTTCTTTTAAGCATAAATCGAATTACCAACCCCAAAATGCCGGAGCTTAGAGAACGGAAACGAGCATGTTGGGCATGTTGGGCAAAATCTTCATTCAAAAATTTCATGATTTTGCGCATCCCAATTTATGCGCCCCCAATATGCATTTGACTCTTGTACACTGAAGTGCACAGTGTATTGCCTGCGCAAGATGCGGTCACTTTGAAGGTCGGACAAGCAGCTGAGCTTGCTTGTACGGTTATGGCATCTGGGGATCTGAGTCTCACTTTGCTTTCGTTCTTCCTGCTTCACTATTTCCCCTCGCCGACTTGGGGCGGTTCCCGGAATTGTTCGTCTACATAATACACACACACACACTAGGGCGTCATGCGCACGCACACACGCACACACAGGCGAGCGCTTGATGCTGGTGTTTCAGATGACCTTGTTTTTGCCAGATACGAACAAACTGTCTGTGAGTCGGAATCCGCTTGCTGTCTTTCCGGTGCACAGGGCCACCGATAAGTGGAGAACTTTTCACGCCAGCAATCATCGGTCATTTTGTAAGTACCCTATGGATCATTACGGTGCACATACCCCGAGGTCTCTTTAGTTACGGAAACAGACTTCTGAAGCTTACACAACAGATACTCTACGGAAAGGCTAAATACGATTTATGGCTTATCGTGCTAGTCAGCGAGTTAGAACGTGAGCAATAGAAAGAAGGAACCAAGACTGTGATATATGTGCGCCCCTGGTTAGGAAGAGCACTATTCACTGAACTGTAAAGGGGTGACTGCCATTGTGTGAACACGATTTACACGGCCAATGGGTGAAATCCAGATCAATAATCATTAGGTCGATAGCGAGACCGACCAGTCACGTGACACTCGAAGCGAGCGAGTTGCAGCATGATTTGTGCTCTCTTCACAAAGACTTTTCCGCGCAGCACGATAGCTATAGATCATTCGAATAATAGAGGAATTATGACCGTTATTCACACTGAAGGAATCAGAAAAATTGTCCCCATTCCACAACAAAATCACTGTGCGATATTTTGTCTCTAGTGAACAAATAAATGGGTACCGAAGACAGCCAAGTAGTCACCAATCAACGATCAGCATGAAAGCTCATTTTATTGGTTCAGGTGGACGCACCATCTAGTGGTGTGCACTTCAAAGTGGACCAATCCTTGTGTCCGGTACATGTCTCTCAGTAGGCCAAATACAGAATTCCAATTTAGCAAATTTCAACTGAAATTCACTACATATTGGGTAGCATAATTTGGTTGGTTGTTTGCCAAATTCAGCAAACCAATTGAGCATCAAATTACCACAAATGTCAGAATTCTAGTTTGACCTCCATTATTCAGATCCGTTTCGCAGAGATCAGCATCAATCTGCAGACTTACTTGTGTCAAGTCTCGATCGGTTTGTTGTCGCAAGTCACCGAACTGACGCCGAAGCCCGACGACCGTTCGCCACAGAGCCAGCAATCGACTATGCTCAGCGGCAAAATAGTCATTGAATGCGTTCTCCTCCTCCCGCCATTCGGTTTCTCGTTTGTCTAGCTGTTGTGCCGCGTGGCGCCAGGCCAGTGTGAGTCGTGCCACATCCTGACTCAAGCCCTGATTCGCCTGAATAGCTTGATCCAGTTGATCTCGTAACAGTTCATTTGCGCGTGCCAAATCGTTCGCACTAGAAGAGACAGGACACGATAAAAGTTAGTTTTATTTCTGGTTCATGGAAAACACAATAAGCTTCATACTAGAAACGCGTTAGATAGAACTTGTCCTATTTCAAAGGGAACAGGCATCTCTCGAATTTTAGAAAACTCCAACATCATGTTTGACTCCAAATAGACAAAGGTGGTAATTAGGTGTCTGGTTATTGACTAGGTAAACGGATAGCAAGCATGTTTAACCGGATACTTTGGCATACATAAACAGGAAACTATCATCTTCCAAATTTGTTAACTTTAACAGAAGTGAACAGAAACATTCTGTGCGGTGGCTATGGATATTTGTTGTTGCTTTTGCGTCTTCTTACGGTGTCTGACATTCACAAGCCTGTTTTGCTCAAAATATTCCCAAGCTGGTTTGATCGTGGATAAAAATTTTCCAGCTGGCACGATGAAACAGTGTTTGAAAATCTGGTCATGTGTATCGGCTCAGACAATGTGCCACCATAGCTGTTTTGTTAAACTNTCCAATTGCTGCCGTTTACCACATTTTTGTGTTACATCAGATATTTCCACTCCGAGGGGGGGGGGTAGGGTTGGATCGGGGTAAATACGAAAGATCGAGCATGCACAAAATCGTCGGAGCATTTACAATTGATTCCACCTATTTTTCTTCGGATGGGGGTGGAGGTGGAGGTTTGCGTAATAGAAGAAACAAAAACTGGGGTTTGTGACTTTCCCAGGCAGTATTGTGAAGCGTGAAATGTTTCCAAGCACAAGACTGAGATCCAGCTTGGTTATTTCCCTCGCTAAGTGTGTACGCTTGACAAGCGTCCCATATGGTTCAATACGCCAACGTTGCGGAGGCGTGCACCGCATTCTACCCCTATTATTCGATTCTCCAATTGAGTCAGGCTGACTGACTGAAAGATGATGATATTTTCAGCGCTTAAATATGGATCTATTTTACTGCTTATTGTGTCTGTGAATTTGTCCAATTTCAACTTCTTTGCTTGTTGTCCCCTGTTCAAAAGTCGACCTGATGTAGTCGTCCTCCTGGTCTGACAAAAAAGTAACATTTGACTTTAAATGACATCGGTATGGCAGATGACTGAAATGAAATTTTCCTTTTGGAATGCCGTAGGACATTTGTAACAGAATGAGCTTCATTTTAAACATTATACTCACTGTAGTCCACTAAATTCAGTCTAATTGAATTGAAGTAGAACAATTGGTTTCCATTTTTCTCAACTGGCTCAGTTCAATCTTGAAAAACAGACAATAGAGTGCTTGTAACAAAGCAAAAATCTCAATTTAGTCGGTCTAGTAAGCTGTTCTAACGATAAAGGGCTTATCACAAAAATAAACCAGTATTGTACGAGAGAATTACACTTTTTTCCTGTGTTAAACTAACCCACGGCTCTGATGTTTTTAAATTTCCCTAAAATCATCACATTGTTCATTAGTAATATATATATATATATATATATCAGTTTTTGTCCTCTGGAATCGCAGAGTGAGAAGAATCAGCACGGAGAACACGCTGGTGGATGATCTCTGAAATTTGCAGAATATCTTCAATCAGAACGCACACCCGAAGCGCCTGATGGCATTCCGCAAGAGGGTCATTGCTGAGAAAAAGTCTCGGTACATCGTTTTACCGTTTTAAAAGTGACACCTTAGAAGAGATTGTGCATAGAAGGCTCTGTATCGGATGCCATGATTCAAACGTTCTACGAAACCAACCTCCAGACCCGTTTCATATCTAGCTCGCTATTGTATCTGCTATGGAAGAATAGATTCTGTTCCCTGTTTCTGTGTTTACGCTTTCGCTTGCTCCCTTAGTACAAAATGCGTTGGCCGCACCACCAGGTGTCTGTCCCGAACGTATCCGTGAGCATCACGCGGTGTGGTTCAGAAATGTGGTAATTAGGTCAACCGCAAGTACCGTTTTGACGTATCATGTTGACATTAGTCACACCCTAAGCGTGATCGAAGCGTTCCAATCCCCGGACAGAGTTAGAACGGGACAGTCTAAACACTTGCGTTTCTGTATCTTAGCTACAGCGGATTCAGTCATAATCCGTCTCCACAATCTTCCGCTGTGCTAAAAAGCAATTTGTGTAAGCACTCAAGCGCCCGTGGTCAGACAGCTGACAAGCGACATGTCATGTACCATCCGAACAAATGATAACTGACTCCGAACGAATTCAGGTCACCCAAATGTAAAAGGAAGCCCATAACAATACAAATGTTGAACATTTTAATTCCTTTCGCTTCTTCGGTAAATCCTTATATGTAACTGGTCATATATATTGTGTTGTAATGGCATAATTAAGATGCCCTGAAAACGAGCGTGTCTACCAATTTTGAATTCTCACTTGAATGTTATCAAACCGGATTCAGTAACTGTTTCATTGAATCTAATCTACAGAACAAATTTTCTTCATTCCAATTTAATCTACATAAACAATAGTAATAGTTTGCAGTTGTTCAAATATTCCGCTGGTGTCTATTTGTAGTTTACACGCAAAAGTTACATTACACAGATCTTCAACTTATTGGTCACATATGTGACCTTGTTCGAAGTATTGATCGGCTATCGGTTTAAATCACCCCGCCAAGTGAGGCATCTCAACATAGCTCTGAGCATGTGGGAAAACTTTCGGGCTAGGGGGGGGGGGGACGGCCGGGAGGTGGGGATAATAGATGTACCGTTGTTGTTCCTCTTGTAATTTGGCCAAAGTGTTTTCCACATCGTAAGATCGCTCCTGTTCCAGCAGGCGTGCACGAGCTTCCGATGCATCAATGCGACTGTTCAAATTTTCCGTGGTCGTCCGCAGCTAGATAGAATTCAGGTGAAAAAACAATGAGATACTCACAACTGTCACACAACTTTGTTTAATAAGAGAAAAAAAAAAGAAAAATATTAGCATGCGTTTTACAATATTCAAACCCGGAATGTAAGAAGAAATATAGGCGGTTGAGTGCCGACCACACATATGTTTAAGGAAACAGAGAGCAGAGAGCAGTTGCTCAAATGATCCTGACTATTCTGGTTTTTCCGCTCTTACACGGTCTATCAGATATTTGCGTAACTCAGACAGCTTCAGCCTATAGTAGTATTCACGAATTGTCCTCCCGTTAATGGTATACACTTGTAACTATGGATAAAACATAATGTTCATTTAAATAAACAGATTCCAGTCTACACACATTCATGAAAATGTTTACTTTATTTTGAGTGGTAGCTCCTGAGTTCATTGAGAAAAGTTGCTTTTTTAATTTTCTTAAAAGCCTTGGTCAAACGGCGAACGTATTCATTGTTTTGCCAAGGCGATCGTGCGCTTGAGTCTACACATCAACTTCTCTACTCGTCTGAGTTCCTTAGCAGATGTTGATTCGTAGGCCGAACTTTTTTGAAAGTCTATGGGATAAAATAAAGTAAACATGACTAATTCTTGATCATTTTACTAATCAAACTACCAATAATCATGCAACCTATTCAAAACTTGTTTCCGGGAAACTGTGCTTCCAATGCCAAAGATATCCAAAATTCTTAATGTCCATGGAAAAACAGTGAGTTCTATCCGGAGTTGATGTGATAAAAACTGACACAAACATGGAACAAAACTGCCACTACTGTAACAACAACAATAACAACATCAAGTACAACACAAACATAATAGTTTGTTGGTGGTCGATTGATGAAAGACAAGATGCATGCTGTTCTGTATTGTTTTCCGCCTGGTGAAAATTTATTGAAAAGTTCAAATTCTGGGTGTGGCATTAAGTCAAATCAATTTCAGAGAAACTTATGCCATTTTGCTGTGCCGGGGAACGGGAGGGGGCAAAAGAATAATGGTACCATCTGCTGGGAATTTAATTGTTCCTGGAGCCTGCATCTCACACAAAGATCAGGTTGTACCATTTGGCTGATTCCGGTCGGTCTCGTGATACCATTGTGCGATGGCCGGTGAAAGTCTCGTTCGTCTATTTCATTGTTACTCTAACCGATCAGTTCTACAAGAATTCATAACCTAACCTAACCGCCTAACTTTTTTTCTCACCGGACAAGAATCCCCCAGGTTCAATTGAACAGTTTCATCTCAGAGTGTGGTCTCATTATGAACTGCAAACATACAGTGATGGACGCCTAAAAGTACAGATTTAACGTATAGTTTGTTGAATTTATCCATGGACGATGTATAAAACGGTGTTTGCGAAGAAATTTTTCTTTTCAGTGTATAATATCACATCAGACGGTGACATATATGAGACGATCATGATAATGATATAGTTTATAACGATGACCGAGGCGAGCAAGTGGAGTAAGTGAATGTCCTAAGACGAGCGGTAGTCAATCGGTGAGTTTTTCAATATTAGATCCCCTTTATCTAATTATTTTATTTATACAAGCAAGCTTTTGATAACTACATTGGTTCCTTTGGACAACATTTAGGAGAGAGGACGTGGGAGGGCGACTGAGTTCCATGGCAGTTTGACTTACTGCATCAGAGACCTTTTGGTGCACAAGATTGGATGAATTAAGTTGGTTAGCTTTACCTCGCTAATCACCAATAGCCAAGGATCCATGTTACTTAATAACAGCCTGAACGACAAATGTGGGTCAATGATATTTTCACTTGTCATGAGATTTTTACGATTGATGACCCTGGATTCCTCTTATCAAATTAACTTCTAAGACGGTGTTGCGTCATTGACTGTACTAATCACTTAGGAATGTGTTCAGACAACCCTGACGACAGGAGCTGATTCGTTCTACCGATATAAGTGTCACCGCAATTTCAGGTGAACTGATAGAAGACATGTGAGGCAGGATTGTAATGGTGGTTCTGCTTTCAATTGCCCAGACGAAGTCCTTGGGTATACGGTATTCATTGAATCTGTGCGGCAGCAAACGTTCTACATAATTCCGCCTTAAGATTTTGACGCACATTGTTCATTCTATGATCACTCTTGAAGGCGAGTTTGAAGAAGACGTTCTTCTTCGGTACTTCACAGACGGGATCAACCGGTGACTTTCGTCTACTATGCACATCTGTTAAGTTCCCTGGATAACCATTGTCCAGTAGCGTCCTTCACAGAAAGGCCTCTTCTTTCGTAAGTGTCAGGAGAGAAAATATTCCCGACACGATGGAACAGGATCTTCCTCAGGCCTCGTGTGTGTGCCACAGGAGCAAAACTAGCAAATTGTAAATACCGTTCATTCCGTACAGTCTTCCGGTAGTTATCGAAACATGCTTGTACAAATACCAGATTGTTTTACATGTTTTAGTGACGGAGGAGATTAAAATAAATGTTAACATCTCGTACAGTTTTGTCTTCCCTTTCTGTTCTAACGAAAGGTGAGAAGATAAAGGTCAAATGAAACCACGATAGAATGATGGGCTGATTAAAATGTGGATGGAGGTTGTGAGCTAGGACGCGAGAGCAGGAAGAAGTTACGCAAGATGTATGCAAAGCATGTGACGTGATCGGGAACGGACAACGTACGAAACTGAGTTGCAATCAGCCATTCATCTATGGGCGTATTATGTTCGCCTTATATATGTCGCCGCTTGGGATGATTTATCGAAAAAGAATTTCCATACGAACACCCCATAATGTTTGCTTTACGATGGTCAAGCTCGTTATACAACGTTTGAACTGTTCTGTCTGTTACAGCGAAATTGTATCGAAACGCTTTTGTTTTACAGACTAATATGCACAAATCTGTTCACCGTGCAGTTGGAGAAGTTTTGCAAGAAAAATCCCATTTCACTGCTGGATTAAAAGAGGGAAAAATAACCCATTTCTCTCACTAAGATTCGTTTGGAAATGACTAACCTGTCCATAACAAAGTGTGAACATTACCTATGCACTGTACCACTGGCCACTTTTGATTGATGTGACCGAGATGTGGTCCACGGGGTTAGTCATTTGTCTTCTCTACTACAGTCCCACCAGAACTTCTATCAATCACCAACAATTGTATCATATGTTGGCCCTCTGAGTTCACAAAGCTGTTCCAGTCAGACTTGCAAACTTTCAATTTCCCTTTTTTGATTACACCTCCCGGAATGGTATCTAACCAAACATGAACGTTTTTAGGCAATAATACCACCCGAATGAAGGGCGGGGTTGGAGGATTAGCCTAGAGGAGTATGTGTTTTGATTTGCATTACGCCTTTGACCGACTTCACCAAACGTGGAATTCACGAATAGACTACAGTTTTGCTGAAAGTTTTCAAATCAGAATGTTTTGGGACAACGATGTGATGAAACCCGTTTTTTCAACTTCTATACTTGAGGCTTGAAGCAAGTCTTGTCCGAGATGAATTAGAGAAACGATACCAATATAACTATGTTGTATGCCTTACGTTTTGGAGGGTTTTACTGCATCCCAATCGGCGCTTGCTGCAGACAGGTAAACTGTTCATATAGAGAGATTGGATTCAAAAAATGAAATTTTCGCAAAATACTTCAGTAATCAAGTTTTTAAATATATTCCAAATTAGATTCATCGTGGGGTTCCTACGTCAGGGTCCACACACCCGATTATTGGCACTGGGGCGGCGTACACAAAACACCAAACTACTCGTTGATTGCCACACACCTTGGCGATGGAGAGAACTTGTTCCTAGTTATCTACGCCAACCAAATGACCATTTTGATTGCTCAGTACGTGAAAGGTAGAATTTTTTGGATGCTTCTGTGGCGACAAACACAAAAATGGAACATAATCGGGATGTGAATCTGGTCAAGATGGATATGTATATTGCCCGAGCGTGCTCGATTGGCGTCCCAGTGCAGCCGCTTGAGACATAGCTTATGAATTCCGTGCTATTGTAACATCATGCGACGGACGTAAGCGATGGCTCAAGCGTTGATCGCGCATGATCCATTGTTAGCAGCGGAGCACGGCCTGATATGACTTTTCAGAGAGAGAGAGAGAGAGAGAGAGAGATGGGGGACGAACACACGCTCACACACAGACACGTACGAATGCTAGAATAAGAAACAACCAGTATATATCATGGGAATCGGGGTGCGAGTGTGTTTATGACCGAGGCCTGTCTCCAATTCGTCACCCTCGCGCTTCAAAGGGAGATGGAAAAGCATATACTGCATGGTGGTCATCCAAATAGCACTGAGAGATCCGAAAAAAAGAGCCTGATGAGATCAACGAGACAATTCAAAATTATACCCGGACACATATAACACTGATATTCGGACTGGTTGAATTGCCTAAGGTATAAATCACCGAAAGGATTGTAATCTTTCGGTGAAAGTTGCTTATAAAAAGAGCTGGTAGTGATCCTCGTTTTGACTTTGTAACCCTTTTCCACATTCCCACTTGTTTCCTTTATAATTCACTTCTACCATGAGGTGGAGGGAAATCTTCCAGAATACAAATCGTATAATGTTGTTCTAATGGTTCTCCTTTAATAAAACAAGATTGATCAAGGAGTGCCGAAAATGTATACCAGTCATTCGTGATAAGCTTCCCACGGTGTTGTATTTATTTCCCCAGTTCATGCAATTTAGGATAACTATAAGATATTGATTAACAGATTAAAGAAATGGGGAATGGCCACTTATATAAAAATCATTCTCAGTTAAAGTATTCATTGATTTTTTATTGTGTTGATTTTTAATCATTATAGAACCACTTCAAAGGTGAAATCGTCATGTATATAGCAAATGAAGCTTGAACTGAAAAGCTAGAAAGCACTAGACAGCTGTTTCATCTATATACACGACGAATTCACCTTTGAAACTGAATCAAATCCTCCATTACTCACAGGAAACTATAGAACAAATTTATTAGACTGTTCTGTTTCATAAATGTCAATCCATTGTTTTTTCTATTAGAAAAGGACATGATGAAAACTTAACTCAGTTGTAGAACACTTTTGCCGCATATACTATGTAGAACAAAATAAATATGAACTTCAATGCAGAACAGGACTGTGCAACTGTTGCTGTACCTCGTCAGTTGTGCAAATCCATCGATCGAACTGGGACTAGAACCAGAGACCTCTATCGCTGTGCTACACTACAAGAAGTCCGATGTGAATAGTGCCCCACTAGATCGTAATCGACGGACATCAGCGCTAATACAAGAATGGCTAATGGCTCGCGATCAGCCTTCAGAGGCTTTAGTGTGTATGAACAAAGCTTGGTTAGCCGTTCGGGGATCAGATAGATAGTGTGCTTGCGTTTTACCTGAGAGATTCATTGATTTTTGTGTCACTCACAGAGATAGTTCCTTGGTAATCTAATCACGTTGAGCAATTCAGAGACTTCACTGAGTATTTTTCTTTGTTCGTGAGCATGCTCGATGCAATGTTTCTGCATATGTATATTATAATAAGTAGTATGTGAACGATTGGACAAAGTTTTCCTGGAAGCACACGACCGGTTTCGCGGTTCTCGCCACTCGTCAGGCACGCGTACCCGATAACATTTTGCCAGTTTAATCATATACCCAGGAAGTGTATTTTCATCACAACAACCTTGTTTGCAACACCGGGTGACCATTTGATAGACAGCTCTTTCAGAGCCAGTTCAATGAAGACTCAATGCTATGATTCGATGATTTGTAAGTGGATTAGATTCTACTAACCGCAACAAACGTGACCTGGTAGTCTTGGTAGAATAGTTCATAATAAGTAGTATGTGAATTTTGTGACGAAAATATATACACACTGATATTAACTGTACTACAGCCTCATGTAAGATATAACATCAACTTGGATGGATAGCTAACACCCGTGATACCGTCNATTCAAACTTCAGGTCTTTAGACACCTGTGATACAAAACATAACGGAACACAAAGCACGAGAAGTTGAACTGTGTTCTACGGAAATTAAACTATCGTGTGGGCCCACTCGTGAAACACAACTTGCATACAGTTTGTTTATACTTGAGAGGTATCATTCAGCAGCATCATCGTAGTGTGAAAGTGAACTTCGCTGACCGGTGCCAAGCTCTTGATGCACACAAAGTTCGTGAAAAAGTACGCGATGAATAGGGTTTGCTCCCAACTAGAGTGAGACAAAAAAAGTGAACCTCTATGGTCAACACACATACCTTTTGAAGCATTCTGACCTGATAAGAAATGACTACACGAATCCCACTACTGTCGTTTCGCCGCC